GGCCTGCAGGGCGCTGGCCCCGCCGCTCCCGGAGGGCAGGGTGATGGAGATGAACAGCACTATAGGCAATATTTAAAACACTCAGAATGAATGCAAAAAAATTCACGATGAACAAAATATCAGAAATTTAAATAAAACAGGATCGGTATTATTGATCCCGCCCCGCCCCCCCCTTCGATGCTGGCTCTTTTGTTTTGTGCTCGGCACTTCTTTATTTAAGATTCTTTTAAAAAAATATATCTGCTTTGTTCAACATGGATTTTTTATTCATTCATTTTAAGTTTTAACTCTATGGCACGAAAATGTTATTTATCTCGACTACTGCAATTTTTGGCGGCCCCTTACATTTTGCTCCTGGCTGGCCTCACCCCAGTCCAGCCCTGCTGACCTCAGCACTAAATAGCAGGCTTTCTCCTGTGCTCTTGCCTATGGAATCACACACTTCAGGTTGCACCTAAACCTCCACAGAGGTACTTTCTAGTACGTTCCGGTGTACCGGGTGCCTCCGCTGCTGAAGACTTTAATCGGCTGTCGTGCAGTTGAGACATGATAACAACCACAAAAACAAAAGTCAGGGAATTAATTATTAAATTTCTTATCACTGGTTTTTGCCACTCAAGGGACTTTGGGTCGGTAACAATACCTAGTGTTTCTGTTGCACCTTGAACCCTTTATTCTTGGCCAGAGTTCCTTGATTTTTCATGGTACAGCTCTCTGTACAGAGGAGAGATCTAAACAGCACCTGTGGAACATAGAAAACCCAGCGAGGAGATGAAGGGGTTTGCTTTGGTAACTCGAGGGCAATGGCAGACCCAGGACAGAGGTGGCCGCACAGGACTCTGCTTGCCACCAAGCCCTGGACTTGCCTCCTTAAGCCATAGAGAACCCTGGGAGATGGACTCCCTCCCCCAAGCGATGCTGCCATCGTTAAACCCAGGACAGGAACACTGTCTCCTGGGTGGACCTTGAAACCCTGCTGCTCCCGTAAAAATGCTTCCTGATACATCTGTGCCCATTATTACCAACAATAAGAAGGTCAAGTTCCATTTTTCTCTGCTAACTGTCGCACTTTTCACCATATTATAGTCTGTTTTCCAGTGAAGTGCTGGTTTCTATTTTTATTTTATGCCTGAAAATATTTGGGGAGGTTATTAAATGCGGTTTCTCTGCGAGACTAGGCCCTGGGGGCTTGCTGAAAACTCACTCCCTTCTGTTCCCTGGCCTCCTCTCCCGTGTGACATGCACCTGCCTTTTCCTTAGTGTCAGTCAGGGGTTTTCTTTTTGTTTTGTTTTTTTCTTTTGTCATCCATTTGGATCTGTAGAAGTTTATTTACAGTAGTTGCTCAGGAAATACTGGTTTTAAAAATCTGAAAAAAAAAGAATATCTGCTTCTCAGAAGTGGTAAAAATATAGATTTGCTTTCAGAAGACAAAAATGTAAAGTAAACATGAAAATGTTCTCCAAATGGCAATTCACTAAAGTGTATATGACTAGAAGTGACAAAGACACCAAAATATTAAAGACAACACTAAGCACATCAGCCCAGCTTCCTTAAGTCAGAGGCATTTCAGACGGATGCCAGGGCCAAGTGCAAATTAGCAGTTGGCGTCAGCAGGCCGTTTCCTCTCTGTCCTGCCTCTTGGGGACTTCTTTGGTGCTGCCCAGCCTGTCGGGGACTTGGGAACAGGAAGAGCTGGTTAGCATGAGGTTATCTGTAATCTGAACTATGGAAAGAATTCAGTCAGACCCAGCTTTGGAAGCACTGTCCATAGCCTCATCACCAAATAACCCAGGTCATTTCACATACACATAGTTACGGACTTCATTAGCCACCAGGGAATATTGTCACACACATAGTAAGACCCAATATACTTGGTACTAAATGGACTTTGCTCGCTCAGTGTCGGTGCTAGAATGGCCATAATTTACATGACAACCAGAGTGACCTCACGCATGTGCAGTTAAGCTTTTACTTCTAGAGGTGATTGGCCAGCTAACATGCTGTCAAGAACACTAGTTGAGTAGCCAACTGGTATCGTATGAGGAGGGACCATACTCCCTGCCGGTACAAATTCTTCAGCGATCTATTTCTCTATAAGAACAGAAGTCTTGAGAGCACTCTGAATGTCAAAAATAGTTTTCTTGGTAAAATGAGTAACTGACATTAGCATAAGAAAGTGAGAAATGGAAAAAAATAGAACAGAAACCAGATGAATTGAATAGGAAAACATGTGAGAAACGGGGTCTCACTGGTGAAGTTGTGGGCACGCTAAGTATGTGGACTGGAGAAAATAGTCAGAAAGCCTTCCTCACTCATCACGGGAGAACAGGTGATAAGAATGTGCCGGGTGTATAACTAACCTAACATTAGGGTAGTACCTGAGGCTCCACCTCAGCTCAGTGCCACGTGGCATCCTGGTTCAGGTGGGTCTCTGACCTCCGGCAGGGCACAGCACCCTGCCAGGGGACGGGGCTGTGTCTTCAGTGAGCCTTTCATTCTCAATGTATTGAACCTAAAGAGACATAGTGTTGGGACTTCACTGAGCTCATGGAACAGGTTGGCAAACTGATTTTTGCCTGCTTGGCCAACGTATGTTTGTTTAATGCGTGTGCCTGTAGAACTTAGTCTGAGACATGCCTTCACCGTAACGTGTAGCAAGGCTGTGCAGTGGTGGCGAATTCTCACTGCAGACTTCTTGGGCAGGTACTGTAATCCACCAGAAAGACCCCCAGTCTGCATCACCAAACTGGCTTGGCAACAGTCACGATGCTCCCGGCCCTGCTGATCTAAGAGAGGAATGCTTGGAGCAAGACTTATAATTCGGTTAGAAACTTGAGAGGTCAGACATCCTTCAATGCAGTTATTCAGATGGCGCTGTAGCTAGTGATCTGCGTGTGAAAAGCACACATTCTATATGTCACTGAAGTGTTTTCTCCTCCTGCTGAGCACCGTCCTCTAGAGCAGTTTTCAGTCCTGGCTGTGCATTGAAGTCCCTTGAAGCCTGGGCCCCACCCCCCTGGATTCTGATCTCAGTGGCTGGGGTGCGGTGTGGGCACCGGGTGACTCTTTGTGTCCTGGGTAAGTAAGGGTTAGGACCCTAACTCCACAATCATGGTACTGAGGCAGAAGGACAAGTTCTCTTATCTTACGTTGCGCCCTCACCTTTTCCATAGCATGGCTCCCATGGGCACTGATAATATTGGATGCTTTGCTGGCTGGTGTCCTCTGCTGACCCCTCCTCCATATGGATCGATGGGACACCCTAGGGGTCACTGCTCTAACCTCCCTATGAGTGTGTGTGCACATGTAAATGATATCATGAAGAGAGAGTCATAGAAAATAGAAAGTATTCTATTTTTCTCAAATAGAATATCCTGGTCCAGTTTTTTCACATTCGATAGGAAGTGACTTAGTGTTGGAGTGAAGCAGTGGTTCTCAACCTTCCTCATGCCACGACCCTTTAATACAGTTCCTCATGTTGTGGTGACCCCCAATGTCATTGTTACAAATTGAACATAATTAAAGCATAGTGCTTAATCACAAAAACAATATGTAATTATATATGTGTTTTCCGATGGTCTTAGGCGACCCCTGTGAAAGGGTCGTTCGACCCCCAAAGGGGTCGAGACCCACAGGTTGAGAACCGCTGGAGTGAAGAGCCAGGGTGTCACAGCAGACAGCCTGGGTTTCAGTCCCAGCCTGGCCTGCCATTGAGAAGCCCGGTAACTGTAGACCACGCTCAGAGCCTCGCTCTCAGTTTCCTCATCTGCATAATGGCGATGCGGAGGCTGATAGCGGAGCGGTGAGGATAGATGACATTATTGTGTGAAGCCTTTATCCAGTGCTCTGGAAATACCAGCCAGCGTTACAACAGTAACTGTTTCTGTAAAGCTGAGATTAAGTTCCACTTATGGCCCAAACTGTGTCTCTGGAGTAACAGGGACTAACCTACCCCACCTGTGCGAGGTGAGGACTGTTTACAACATGAGGACAGCAGTCCTTTCTCTGAGTCGCGGGTTCGCAGCCACCTTTGTGGCTTCCTCGGGTACCTCTTCCTGGGCTGAACCGTCCTCACCAGGCTGGGTCTGGGGCGAGCCGGTGAGAACCTAGGACACCCTGCAGGGTCTCACCCTGCGACCTGAGGGTGAACGCCCCTTAATTCCCACCCCAGTGCCCCTCTCCCTCAGGAGAGGCCCGGGCCTGCTGCTTACCTTGTGTCGGGCTGAGCAACAAAGGCAAACGTGTCATCATGTGAAAAGGGTGCGCCCGGCCGGGTGTGCTGGGCCTCAAGGCTGTTGGGCTGACGGAGAAGAAAGGTTTGGGCAGCGAGGAAGCAAGTTTGGCCCAAACCCCTACATTACATGCAATTGCAGTGAAAGCCAGGTTCGAGGCCTCTCCCCTCTTTATCTTCTATTTGAGAAAGAGGCCCGCTTGCGCCTGGGCATCCTGTGGGCGCCGGGGCATTCTGTTGGGAGGCTGAACTCCCTTTCAGGGCCGTGTTGGAACCTCTTTGGGCTTTTGAATTTGCTTTTTATTACCTTCTCGGAGCTGAATTCTGCAATGGACCCTGGGGACTGGAGGACTTTGTGTGAGGAGAACCAGGCCCGTGTGGGCAAGTTCAGTGCCAATGCTGTGAGGGCAGAGCGGCTCAGGTGACCAGCCAGCCCCGGTGCAGGTCCTGGAGCACACAGTGCCCCTAGGAGAGGGATCACTTACCTGGCGACCTCCTTTCTAAGAGTTCCCAGAATGTGAGCCTCAGGTCACCAGGTCAGAAGTCCTGAGGACGTCTGGTGAAATGTGCAGCCACCAGGAGCCCCTAAATTCTGACTTGGTGGAAGGTTGAGTGCAGGGCCCAGAACCTGAGCGAGTAACTCCGTTCTGATGCTCACTGCCCTCCGCATCCCTTTGCCCCCGCCTCCGCCCTCACGGGGATGCCTGGACCAGGAAGCTCTACCTGCGCCCCGCCCCCCCTCTGTTTATCAGCGAAGGACCTGCCCTGGAGTTTCTGACCCATCCTCCCCGGAAAACGGAGGCTCACATGGGACTGTGGTCCCAGCCCTCTCGCCCGCCTGTTCTCCAGGTGCAATGACAACCGAGCACCATCATAAAGTGTTCTGTGTGCCTCCGCTACCTGGTCTTTTGTACCACACTCTACTCTGGGGCCCGGGAAAAGAGTGAGGTTTACAATGACAACCGAGCACCATCATAAAGTGTTCTGTGTCTTTTGTGCCACACTCTACTCTGGGGCCCGGGAAAAGAGGGAGGTTTATTCTGGCACAATAACACAACCAATGTCTGGGCGGTCTCTCTTCTGGAAAAGACAGATCCATGGAAATGGGACCCCCTCAGTGCCCTCCCCCTGTTCCCTCACCAACCTGGGGAGCTCCTGGCTCCCACCCCTCAGCGGGAGGACCCAGCCTGGGGAGCCTATCACTTCCTTAAAGCTCCTCACTTCCTCCCACCTCCCTCTCCCCGGGAGCGGAGCGGCAGGGTCCTGGGACTCACTGTCACTCACACCTCTGTTGTGGTAAACAGCCTCCTTTGCAGCTGCTTATTCAGAGGCCCTCACTTGCTTTCCCCACTGGATTTGGAAAGAGTTAAAAATGCCAGCCAGATCGGCCCTCTTCCCCTTAGGAAATCAATTTGTTAAGCTGGCACTCGGGATTTTATATATATTTCTATGAGATCTCTTATTTTTGGTTGCCTTGAAATAAAGATTTAAACCTTTTAATTGTATGATATGAGCTGTTTCTTTTAGTTGAATCAGACACAGATTTGATGGGCAGCCTTTTGTGTGTGTGTGTGACTGTCAGAGTCTGTTAAACATGTTGAAGAAGAAGAACCGAGGGGAGAGCCTCATGGCCTGGGCCCCGTGCAGGCCCAGCTCCGTGTGAGCAGGAGGCTTCTCCCAGGTGCGCCGGGCCCACAGGTCGCACTGAGAGGGGCCAGCTATCATCCAGCTGTGAACACAGCTGACCTGCGTCTGCAGCCCAGGTCCTCTCAATTTCCCCACCGTTTCTCTTCAATACACCTTGTGAATTACTCCTAAAACCGGCTGCAGTCACACAAGTATTTCATGAGCTGATCGTGTGTTAGAGCCATCAGGTCGCCTAGAGAGGTTTTTAAAATTCTGTTGTGAGACATCTGAGGGAGGCTCAAAGCCTTCCTGACGGTTTTGATGTGAGCAGGTTCGCAGGACAGTGTGGGCACCCAGGAACCCACAGTGAGGACGTCCGTGAGGTTAGTTGGGTGTTTTCCATCTTTGTGAACTCATCTTGGCTTCCAGTTACCACCGTCTTCTTGGCTGTTTCCTCAGACACCGCAGGCTAGAGCATTTCTAGTCTCCGTGGCTCGGGTTGGACAGTTTGCTGACTGTTCTAGCTGCTTCTAGGAGGGTAAAGGGTACCGCTTCTGTGTGATGGATCTTACTTCGAGTCTGCCTTTTTCCTTCGTGAACTTGGAGTAGCATTATAAATACTGGAGCATTCGTTTATTCTGCTTCATGTAAATTCCACAAAACTGGATAAGAGAGCACCATATTTGCAAGGAATATGATTTTCCTCGATTTATGCTAATTTTTTTTTATGGAAACAGAGTTTGTATGGTCCTGTTTTAAAGCAGTCAGAGCTCCTAAACCTGGACGGTGGCTGCTCCAGCCCATGGCTGGAGCCCTTACCCAGCTGTCTAACTCGTGGGTATTTCCAGGGAGGGACGAGGCGTAGCTAGAAGCCCCATGCCCATCCACCCTGGGCCACCTCCATCAACTTTCCTCAGCCCAACAATCTACAGACCCTCAAAACGAAACAAACCCAAAAAAGCAACAATAAGAATGGTGATTTTTACATTACAGAAAATAAAAAGTTGATTATTCTCAGTTAAAAGTCAGGAATCCTTGCAGTAGAAGTTAAATTCTTTATTTAAAAATTAAAATTTAATGCCAATCATTTAATTTAAATGAAATAAAGTTTACAGTTTTATATTTGGCTTACCTATAACTTTAGAGGAATAAAATTATGCATCCAAATATTTGACAGGCTCTTATGACATTTTCTTTTCTATTTTAACATGAATTTCTAGAATCTCTTTATTCTTCCACATAGGATTATATGCCACCTGGTCATACCGGGTGTGTCTTATTTGCTCAGCAGTAACATTGTTCAACAGGCCTGTTTTGATGCACAGCGCTATTTACACGACCAATTCTTTCCATATATTTTATGCATCTAAAGTGAAAGCAAATGTAGCTTTGGAGCCTGAGTATTCTAACTCAAAATTTCTAAAAAACTGCAGCAAGAAAAAGTTATGATTATGTTAAATCAATGTATTTAAAGATCACATATATAAGCCTATGATTTTGAGAGCAGTTTGAAAAATTCTATTTCTGTAAGCTCTCGATTTATTGGGTATTCTCCTACTTTTATTTGAGAAATTAAAGAATATTATAGCTCATCACCAGTTTCGTGGTGAACCTCTTAAAGAATTTCAGATGGCAGTAGTCATCGTGAGGACAGGAGCTTATATGCATTTCTTGAGATTTTGTTAATAGGATCTCAGAGGAATAATCACACAATTACAGACAGCGAGCCGCAGGCAGGGCTCTAGGGCTTTCATTTGTTGGTTCTCAGGGGTCCCTGCAAGCCACGGGCACAGCGGTAGGAATGTCACTGCATCATATGAGCAGAAATGTTGTTTACAAGTAGAAAATAGAACCATATTCTAGAACACACACTCATGCAAACATACATATATACACATATACACACATATACATACATGTACACATACACACACAATATAAAATTATATCCATAGATACACATGCCTACCCTTTTGAATTAAGCATAATCAACTATTTCTGAATTTTTCTGTTTAATACTGCTGGGCTCATATTCATGCTGTTTTCCTATATTCCAGGCAATAGCAGGACCAGAATTACCAATTTGTGAGCTCACAAACACTGCTGGTAGCAAGTAAAAGACTCATTCAAGTAGCTATTCTGCCTGGTGTCCAACATTAAATGGGTTTTTACAAAGAATATGAAGTAGATTTAATTAATACATTGGTATGTCCTGCCAATACCAGGTTAATTCTACTTGTTTGGCAATTGACCTAGGAAGCAATTGGTTACAAGAAATAAGAATTTCAGCAGGTATTTCAGATATCCTCTAGGTAAGTATTTCTTCCTTCAGGGACAACTGAGGGCTGATCAGACTTTGAGGCCATGACCTCCCCGCTGAGACCCCCCTGTGTGACCGCCTGTGTGCGAGGCCCTAGCCCTGAGGACTGCCTCGCCTCCAAGCAGGACAGGAGCGTTGTTTCTGTTGGAAAATGACCTTAGCTTCCTCCGTCCATTCACTGTCTTTCTGGGGATGGGAGGGGGCACTGATCACTCTTCTTCTCATCTCTTATACTTTATAATATTAATAATCACCCTTTCTTTTTTTGTAAAATAATTTTAGTTATTGACTCATAATTTTCTATTAATAATCACCCTTTCTTTTTTTGTAAAATAATTTATTAGTTATTGATTCATAATTTTCTAACAAAGATAACATAATTGAAGTATTTATTTTAACATATCTCCATATAAAAATGGTTCTCCATTCTAGAACAGAAATCCAAGTCATTTTATGACTGGTTGAATTTACAAGATCAAATCCTGTTAAAGATTTTTTAAACATTTTTATTGACTGCGATTTTAGTTCATTAATTTCATCTATTATTATTATATTTTGAGGGGAGAAAATTTCTTATTAAATTTATATGTGTTTGCTGAAAAAATCTTAATATTGTCTACATTATATCCAAAGGAGTTTATAATATCTTATGCAATGCAATAAATAACATTTTTGCCACAACAATTTGATATTGTCATTTCATGAAATTTGTTGCATATCATTTATCTTTCCATCTTCTTCCTTTCTTTCTCTCATACATATATGTGTGTGTGTGTGTGTGTATATATATATTATTGTTGATAGTATTACAGATAGCTCCCATTTTCTCCCCTTTACCCTCTCCTCCCAGCCCCTTCCCACCCCCCAGGTCTTCACTACCCCGGTGCCCGTGTCCATGGGCTGTGCATATAAGTATATAGGCCTTTGATTTATCTCTCCTGGTCCCCCAAACCCCACCTCGAGGTGTGTCAGTCTGTTCCATGCCTTCATGTTTTGGGTCTTATTTTGTTGGTCAATTCATTTTATTCATTGGATTCCACAAATAAGTGAGATTATGTGATATTTATCTTTCTCGAGTTGACTTATTTCACTGAGCATAGTATTTTCCAGGCCCACCCATGCTTTCCCAAAGGGTAAGAGATCCCTCTTTTTATAGCCGCATGGTATTGCATGGTGTGAATGTCCCACAGCTTTTTTACCCACTCATCTACTAATGGGCACTTGGACTGTTTCCAAATCTTAGCTATTATGAATAATGCTGCTCTGAAATAGGGGTGCATAAATCCTTTCTGATTTGTGTTCTGATTTCTTGGGGGACATATTCCCAGAAGTGGGATTGCTGGGTTAAACGGAAGTTCCATTTTTAATTTTTTGAGGAAACTCCATACTGTTTTCCACAGTGGCTGTACCAG